AGCAACTGGAATAACGGCAATGAAACGTGCTGATTTTGCTAAGAATCTGGATAAAGCCTTTACCCGACCATTCAGTTTCTGGACGTCTCTAACATTCTCTGGGCTCTTCATTTCCATTACTGCTCTACATTTATCTAGATTGGCTTCAATCCCCCTTTCTGTTAAAAAGAAACCCAAAAACTTACCAGCTGGAACTCCGAAAGCACACTTGCTCGGATTCAAACGCATGTTATGTTTCCTGACTTGCTCGAAGACTTCATGTAAGTCCTCCAAATGCTTCTTAGCATCCTCCGACTTCACAATCATATTATCCATGTATACCTCCAACATTCTGCCCATTTGCTCCTTAAATACTTTGTTCATCATTCTCATATAAGTTGCACCTGCATTCTTCAGCCCAAACGGCATCACATTGTAACAACACATAGCGTTTTCCGTGATAAATACTGTTTTCTCCTGATCTTCCTTCCACAAGGGTATCTGATTATACCCAGAATATGCATCCATAAATGACAATACTTTATACCCAGAAGCCCTGTCCACCAACTGATCAATGCTCAGTAATGGAAATGGGTCTTTAGGACAAACTTTATTCAAATCTGTATAATCTGTGCACATTCTCCATCTCCCATCTGCCTTTCTAATTAATACCGGGTTGGCTAGCCATGTAGCATACTCTATCTCTCTGATAAACCTCGCTTCTAATAACTCCTTTGTTTTTTCTTCTATTGCCTTCCTCCTTTCTGAACAAAATCTCCTTTTCATCTGTACTACCGGCTTGGCCCCGGGCATTATTGCTAGATGATGACAAGACAAAGCCGGGTCCATTCCGGGCATATCGGACGGTTTCCACGCAAAAAGATCTGCATTGTCTTGCAACAACCTTTTTAAACTCACAACCACATCTGGTTCCAACTCGAAACCTACTTTAGTAACTATTCACGAGATTTCCCTAACTGAACCTCCTCCATTGCCCTGGCGGGTTCCGGCCTATCTCCTATATCCTCAGCTCGGGGACCCATTCCTACTACCATTACTCGCTCTTCTTTCTTCTCTTCCTTTTCTACTTGTATCTCCACCTTCTTGTCTTCTCCTTCCTCTGCCACCATTTTTGCTTTCTTACTCTCTTGTCCAATTCGCAAACTCATATTATAACAACTCCGAGCTATCACTTGATCCGCCCTTACTGTAGCCATATTGTCGTCTTTAGCCACAAACTTCATAGCCAATTGATCTATCGACAAAAAGATCTTAAACTTCTTCATAAATGGTCTTCCCAAAATAATATTGTGTGTCAATTACCAAAAACGACTCGACCACTAACTCAGTCCCGCGGGACATTTCTAACACAAGGCCATGGATGCGAAGAATATTTGAAACCACTCTCGAACCATCACACTCCAACCCAACTGCCCATGATATAGTAAGAACGGAATGGAAAGGCAAAAAAACGATTCTATACGCAGACGTGAAAGCTCTATCGATAGAAGCAGCCTATCTTTTTTTTTAGAGAGGAACGATTCCCTCGTCTGAGAACCGCCATTCACGCATTATTCCTCCCCACTAAAAAGAGCGATTGATAATCTCGATAACCTAAACAAAATGCAGAAGTGAGCGTACTCAAAGCTATCCTTTCTTCCCCTTTTTTAGCCAACCCCACTTTTTTTCACCTTGAATTGGTCAAAGCCAAAAATCTGATAGAAGGAAGAGAGATCAGAAAGATACGCAGACGACTTTACTATAGTATAATAGGTCGGAAGTTTTCGTGAACCCAAATCTACCACTGCAAACGACAAGGTAACTGTTTTATGCGTAGGTGTCTTCCCCAAAGTTAACCTCAATGGGATGTATTCCAATGGCTTAATCTTATCTCCTGTGAAAGCTAACAAATCAGCTCCGCATGGTTCTAACTGGTCACAATCCAAATCCATCCTTCTGAACGCATCCCAAAATATAATGTCCACCGAGCTTCCAGGATCTACCAACATTCTATCAACTCGGTAGTTTGCTAGCAACCCTGAGAAAACCAAGGGATCATCATGCTCCGGATCTAATATTTCATCATCTAAATCTTCGAACACTACTTGCCTACCCGTCCTCCTTCTTTCTTCTTTAAAACGCGGCTTCTCCGAAATAGTCATGCACATCTTCAAATGCTTTTTCCGGGCATTACCTGATTCTCCTCCTCCTGCTCGTCCTCCGGCTATAGTGCAAATATGCCCCACTTGAACTTGACTCGGAGATGCTTGAATTTCTGCTTTTTGGTTTCTGCTAGCCTCTTTATTCCTTCCTCTAGGCGGGCTGCGACTACGGTCTAGTCGCCTATACTTATCTTCCTTACACCCTTCTCCTTCTCCCCTTCTCACATACTTCTGTAACTTCCCTTCTTTAATCAACCTCTCAATAACATTCTGCAGGTTAAAGCAATCATTTGTAAAGTGTCCATACCCCCGATGAAGCTCACACCACTTTGTCTTATCTGCCTGTGCGTAACTCGCCCGAATCAGCGGCGGTCTAGGAACATTTCGCATTTCAGTAGACATCACCTCTTTTAATATCTGGGCTCTGGACGTATTTAATGGTGTGAACTCCCTCCTGTATGCTTCTCTAAATCTTTCCCCAACCACTCGAGGTCGCTTTTCTTCAAAGTGTCCTCTCCCTGCAGGCCTGTCGGGCCTCCTAAATGTAGCTTCTCTGAAACCTTGTTCAATTTGCTTTTGAGAAGACTTAAATTCTTCCAGATCAATATACTTTCGAATCCTTTCCATCAAATCTTCTTTCGTAGCCGGACATTTTTTTGCCAACGAATCTGCTAACCCGCCAAGCTGTAACCCGGTGGTAAATAACAGCAAATACGTCTGATTCTCTAGCCCCTTCACTTGCCTAGCTTCTGCTTGGAATCGTTCATAATACTCTCTCACCTTTTCTCCCGGCTTTTGTCTTACTCCACATAAATTGTGTGTGGTTTTAGACTGGGGTCCACAATGGGCAAAATGTTGTATAAACCGAAGAGACAGCTCCGACCAACTGTCAATTGAGTTGTCTGGCAAAGCCGTAAACCATTCCAACGCCTGCTTCCTCAGAAAAACTGGAAATGTGCGACATAACAACGAATCGGATTCCCTACATAATGACATTGCTGCTCGGAAAACCGTTACAAACTCCTTTGGATCCGAGCTCCCATCATAAGCCTTCATATCATTTGGCTGTTTAAACCAAGTCGGAATTGGCTCCGCCCTCAATCTCCAAGATAAAGGGGTTCCTGAAGGCCCTTGACTAATAGGCTGTACAAGAATCCCCTACTGAGCCTGCGTCTGTTGTGGTGGTCCCCCAGGTTGCTCGTTCCATCCTGGTCCTTCTTGTCTCATCATTTGTCCTTCGTAATACCGAGGACCATAATTCTCCGCTTGTTGCCATCCACCTCTCAGACCTTGATCTCCTGGTACATAATAATACCCGTCTTCCTCATGTGGGAACTCGCCTCTATAATGAGTATACCGTCTTTCTCCATATCGTCTCGGATTTCGCCCTCGCTCTTCAAGACGAGTGTAATAATGGCGACTTGCCTGCCGTTGCTCATCCTCCCACTGTTCCCAGCTGGGTTGCTCATCATTATCTTCTTGATATTGCCGCTCTATTCCAGTTTCCCGAGCATTTGCTTCATAAGCCTGCTCTTCTGTCATCCGACTTGCTCCTCGTCCCCCACCTTGATAATTCCTCCACTCCAAAAGACCTCTTGATATTTGAGATACTTGACCTCTTCGGACTTCTGTTCTCCTATTCTCCATCTCAGTTGGAGGCGATAACGGAATATAACTAGGGAGGGGAGATACAGAACCTCTCCTCCTGTCCCTGCCTTGTGGCATGTTTCCCACAGGTGATCTCTCTTCTGAAGGTTGCCTCCCTCTTCCTCCTCCCTGATGTTGCCTGTTCCTTATCTCCTCCACCAACTGAATTAAAGCTTCCCCAATTGTATCTAAAGATCGACTCCTTCCACTGGATCGAAAGGAATCTTCTTCCCCTCTGCTCTCTTCATTCTCCATCGCTCGCTCATCATGGTTATTGCTTGCCATGACCCAAGAAAATGCGTAGGAATAGCTTTACCTTCCCCACAGACGGCGCCAAATGTTCTGGACGAACATCAATGCAGGTTCTTTCTAATTCTGAGTGTCCCTTTTCTAGACCATTGTCCTCTATATATATATCTCTCTCTGGCTTAGGTAGTTATACTGAACGTGGGTAGTGGTAGATAATATCATGTAATCGTGGTAGGGCCCACCTCAGGTACCAATACGTGGAATAACTAACCAACTATCCGGGTAAAGGTCTTTCCGGGTTCACTCAGTCGGTTTCCATGGCTAGTGATACCCGGGCATATAAACCCAGAACACAAAGCCTTAATAATGATTATTGTTTAAATTAACATTTCAAATAATGAACAGAAAAAATGCATGGACTTTCACAATTATATATGGGAAAATTGGCTTTGTATATTCTATAACCAATTCTCTCTTCCTCTCCCTCTCTAAAATGAAAGAACAATTAAAAGGGAATCAGATACCTGTACTTTAGTATCTAATACTGTATACTGTAAACATAAGGATGCAGGTGAATTTAAAGAATGCAACAAATATGCAAATATAGCAAACAACAAATAAAGATTAGATACTTGTATCACACAGATGTTTTGTAACAATTAAGTACTTGTCATAATTTTTCCATGGTCCAAAAACATTTCTTAAACACAAGATAGTTCGGTTTCAAAGTCTATAAGCAAAATTACCTTCTTCTCAGGGCTTCGATAGAGAAACATAACCATATAGCAGTGTCCAATACAATTATAAACAGAAAGTTTCTACCCATTTGTCTTTGCATCTTCTTTCAAATAAGCATAATCTATATGGGGCTTTATGGTCTATTATAATTGTTGACTGTTTTCCCATTTGATTCCATCACTCCATTCAAGCAAATTTGTATCTTTAAGTACACCTAAAACTCACCGAAAGTAACTTCTTTCTGATGTCACCTTTTGCAAAGCAAAGCCTCCCACCAAATCAACTCTCACGACATCCTTTGCTTCAGGAATTGCCTCATTGTTGAAACCACCAAGGTTCCCCATGACACTCTCTGACTCAGGGACCTGAAAGCAAATTAAGCAGAAATTTCTTGAAGCTTCGATCTAGTTTAGAATTAACTTTATCTAAAAGAAAAAACAAAGAAGGATCTAGATGGCTACCGAATTCATAAGAACAATAATTAAGTCATCTTGAAAGTACTCAAACAGATAATAGTGCACCACAACTTCCCTCATAGACAGAGGCCATGAAACCTTCATCCTTTCTTCCAAAATTGAGAGCAACATCAGCTTTCAAAAGTGCAAACTTTGAGCATGGTGAGGGGCATTAAAAAAAAAAAAAAAATTTAATTGATGCTAACAAGACAAACCTCACTAGTGATATTTGTTCCCCAATCTGGACCTTGTGCAAACATTCAGATGATACGATTTTGAAAGTGGGGACAGTAGACTGAGGCCACCTGATAAATGAAAATCGTGAAAAGGGTGTCAGCTAGAAGTATCAGTTAGATTTTTATAGTGACGACATTACTTTGATTCAGAAACATCTCTAAGTTCTACAACAACTTCCAGGATCACCTCAAAACAAAAATTGTAAGTCAAATGCATACAAAAAACATATAACTTCAAACCTAATACAGAAAGTAATAAGTATAAAAAGATACTAGTGTTCAATGTCGTATTGGGACTAGTATACTGAAAACTAAAGACACATATTGCACTGAATATGATTATAGTGACAACATTACTTCGATTCGAAAGCATCTCAACTTCCAGGATCACCTCATAACAAAAATAGCAAGTCAAATGCATACAAAAAGTATATAACGTCAAACCTTATACAGAAAGTAATAAGTATAAAAATGATACTGGCATTCAATGTTGTATTGGGACTAGTATACCAAAAATTAAAGACACATTGCACTAAATATGATTCTCACCATTTTTTGAAAAGGAACGTCTCCCATGAGATACATAAACCTGTAATGATGAAAATAACTCATTAAATTTTTCAAGTAGAAATCAATAATATGGCCTTTGTCAATAAAAAGGTGGTGATAAAAATTTTGGTTGTTCTAGTGTGACTCACAAACATCAACAGGCCCATCCACAAAGCCTTCAACTAACAATGTATGAAAGGGAGTTCCCTCTGGTCCTTCACGATACATGACACGGAACTCTTCACTATCCTGTTTTAACTGTTGAAAGAAGTATAATTATCAATAACGACTCGAGAATTTGATTGAAAAGTTCAGGTATCTTCATCCCAAAGCATAACAGAAGTCAGGCTACAAATGTCACATGAGATATAGTCCATTAAATTTTAAACAATAAGATACTGTTGGAAAACAACCACTGAGCCAATGAGACCAGTCATCTAATGTAAATCCCTAATTTATGTGAAATGAAGTTGTCAATGAGACATACAAAACAAAAAGGTTCATAATCTAAATGAACGGAATAAGGTATAAAGAAGAAAAAAATATGTTTATCAAGAAAACAAAACTTGGTGAAACCACAGAGAGTAGATAGCATACTTTCCAATCAGTGTGTGATGCATTAGATCTTCCACAATCATCTGAAGAAGCACTCCTCAACATATCAAGAAAGTTAGATACCTTTGCAGTCTTGGTTTCTACTACTTTCTCCGTATATCCTGCGCAAACCAAAAAAAAAAACATACACACACACACACACAAAGTTAGCGAAGTAAAATAATTGTTCCACTCAACTAGTACCATTTCTTCCTAAATAAATTCAAAGGAAATTAAGGAATGTAGTAAAGTATCACCTTTTACTTCTGGTTCTGAAGAAGGTAGGAGTTGACTTTGGACAAGCTTTCTGAGTTCTTCATCATTTGTAAGATCAGGTGAGGCAAGGGTCCTATCCAGCCTCTCCCTATATTGCACAATCTTTGGTTTCTTCTCCATCTTTGCAGCTCTTGAGAAAGTGGAACAATCCTTCTCTCAAAATGTCATGTCAGGAACTTAGGCCTCAACCATTTACAGGATTCCTACAAATTCAATGTGGTTAAACAAGATTTGCCATTCAGGTACAATTCTCATCTCATCATGCATGATTAGTAAAACATAACAAATTGCTTGTGTTCTCAATTTGGCAAAAGCACACAGAAGGTTTCTCTCCATTAGCCCAAGCAATGACAATTCTTGGTGAATTCACCTCTATTTGCTGTAGTTAATGTAGCATATAATTATCCAGAATCCAAAAAACAAGAAAGTCATTATATATCCACCAAAACACATCAATTTGAAGCCTTTGCACCAATAAAATTTACAAAAAAAACTTCGAATTTCAGAGCCCTCTACACACGTTAACATAATTTCAACAGGAGATGATAGCTAAATAGGTAAAGTTACACCCCCAATACACTTAAGCATTTAAATGGAACTGCATTGATAAGTTTCCAACAAAATTGACAAAACAAAACCAAAATTTCACTCCATTCCCATGGGAAGCAGAAATTGAAGGAGCTCAAAGAAATCCAATTCAAAAAGGCTAATAAAAACAGAGGTGCATAATCAAAGCACCCCAGATGAAGCAGAAGCTTAAAAGATGCAAAATTTATTGAAAATCTAACCAAAAAACACATACATGAAACTTTCCGGAGTAGTGCTTTTTCCAGTATTCTTGTTCTGTAGACGTGAACCCAGTCAGATACACAACACAACATGACTTAAATATGGGGAAAACAATTAATTTAATGTTTTTTAATAAATTAATTACGCATTTATTACAATTTTAAAAATAATTACACATTTATTGCATAATATGACGCCCAATTTAGGCGTCACTAAATACGCCTAAATTGGGCGTCACTCAAGAGGCAATCACGCCTAATTTAGGCGTTACTCATCAGGTGTTGACATATGTCATATTTTTTTCCAAAAAAAATAATAATTTAATCATAAAACTTTTGAAGGCAATAACTTGACTCGGGTATCCAAATCAGGTAATTCTTTTTTTGATTCCACATAACTTTTCGAGATCTACGCAATGACATCTCATTTGATATATTTTATTTCTCAAAAACATAATTTAAATTTAAATCAGGTAATCATTCTTCCTTAAAGATTTAGAATATTTATTTAATTATTTCCTTTTTTAATACAGATTTTTCAAATTGATTTTTGAGTTTAAATCACAAATCAAATCTTTATTTTGTTTTCCTTATTAAAAATAATTGTTAATTTTTTAATTTAAATCACACATCAAATCTTGATTTATTTTTTATATTAAATAACAAACCCAGAACTCAGGGACTTCTGAGTTTAAAAATGTGACACGTGTCAACACCTGACACGTCACCAATGACGTCTAAATTGGATTTCAATCAAGAGGCAATCACGTCTAATTTAGGTAATTTTATTTTTGAAAAACATTCATAAGCCATAATTAATTTCAGACCACAAAAAATAACCCAGAAGCTTATAGCATTAATCATTAATTTCAAAAATAATATCTTTCTTCCTTATAGATTTAGAATATTTATTTAATTATTTCTTTTATCTCTACAGATTTTTCAAATTGATTTTTTAGTTTAAATCACAAATCAAATCTTTATTTTGTTTTCCTTATTAATAATTATTTTTATTTTTAATTTAAATCACAAACCAAATTTTTGTTATAATAAAAAAAATTATTATAAAAAAAGTTTAAATCAGAAATCAAAATTTTATTTATTTTTTTATATTAAATCACAAATCCAGAACACAGAGGCTCTTGGTTTAACCGCTCTTATAATATCATTCTTGCAAATTTAAATTGTTTTTGTGAGAAATAAAACATATAAAATAAGATGTCATTGCGTAGATCTTGAAAATTTATGTGGAATCAAAAAAAGAATTACCTGATTTGGATATCCGAGTTAAAAGTTATGGCCTTCAGAAGTTTTATGATTAAATAATTTTTTTAAAAAAAATATATATGACACGTGTCAACACCTGATGAGTAACGCCTAAATTAGGCGTGATTACCTCTTGAGTGACGCCCAATTTAGGCGTCTTTAGTGACACCCAAATTGGGTGTTATATTGTGCAATAAATATGTAATTATTTTCAAAACTGTAATAAATGCATAATTAATTTATTAAAAAGCATTAACTTTTTTTTTCGCCCTTAAATATGTCTTATAATTTTAAATATTTTTTAATATATATATTTTATGTTCTACTTAAATTAAAATATTTGTACAATGTACGAAATATTTATTCATTAAAAATTTTATTTTTTAAGATAAAATTTGGTTTTTACGATTTTCAGAAAGGTAAAATTAAAAATAACTTTTTTATTTTCTTTATTTTATTTGTAAAATTTTAAAAATATATGTATATATAAATAGGGAAAAAAATTTCTCCTACAATCCTAAAATATTTTATGTCGTTTTAGTGTTTAGGATTAAAAGTAAAGGGTGTTTTGAAAATTTTATATTCCTTTTTATATCTTGAATTTTACTAAAATACCTTATTTTAAATCTTTAATCTCAAAACGATATCGTTTTGAGAGTTGTCGGAGATAACTTTATCTCTTGTCACAGAAGAAACGCTAAGATCATATAAATAATGAGAAAAGTATTTCTCTTGTCACAAAAGATAAAGTTATTTCCTGCATCCTGAAAATGATAGGAGAAAAAGTTATCTCATGCAACTCCAAAACGATATTATTTTGAGGTTGCACGAGATAATTTTATTTCTTGTTATAGAAGAAACGTTAATCACATAAATAATATGACATTTTATAATTATTAATAAATATATGTCAATTCAATAAAAATTTATCTTTATATTTTATTTTAACATTTTCCTCATATAATCCACTGAAAAAGGGTGACATAATGAATCTATTTGATTGTATGGGTACATTAGATTTAATCGAATTGCTTTGTTGTATCCAGACTAATATAAATTCAATCCATTTCATTCGAAAACATATTTATTCTGATTCAGGGGGAGAAATGCATTGGAGTATTAAATATATAATATATAAGGAAAAGGAATGACCTTTACAGATAGCATAGATTAGCAATCGAAAATAATTTACATAGACAGGATATTCTTACACAAGTGTAAGAATAAGAAGTCTTACATCAAATCTTGATAATTGATTTGCTTGAATCTAATAGCTCAAATATCTAATAAATTAAAAAATTGGTAGATATAAATAGAATCAACGATTAAGATTAAGAGTGTAACTTACAACTGAGTAAAATGATCCTGACCCTAATTTATATACACTCATTTTTTGACATATTTTGTATTTTGGTTAACATCTTCTCATTTGAAAAAAGTATATATTAAAAAAGAAATTTATTTTATTTTATTATAACTTAACATACTCGAGAAGAATATGAGTGAATTGTGTTAGACAAGTGGCTTTAATACTTCAAGACGGGATTAATTGAGTTTTATAAAATCTTTTCGCAAAATGTCTCCTTTGATATTTTAAAGAGTATTTTTTCAATTAAATGATTTAACAAGGAAAAAGCTATGTGTATGTACTACTATGTGATCAACAGAAATACAATAATGAACAAAGAGACACAATCTAATAATGCAATTTCAAGGTAAAAGTTTGTATTGGGCTGATTTGTCTTTGTCTTGTAATCTCATAACGATTTTATTGAATTGATCTCTTTGGGGTGTTGTTGTTAACCCCTTAGATTACAAAAAAAAAAAAAAAAGAGTTCAAGGTTAGAGATATTGCAAACTAGATGTATCTGGTTCGGTCACCACCATTGTGACCTACATCCAGACTGAAGCCGCTCAATCAATCTTTTTCACTAACTATCAAGCTTCAAGGGTGCTTGATAAACCACTACAATCTTTCAAGACTTGGGGCTCTTGGTGCCTTATAACTTTCAATCCAAATTTACTTAGAAATTTGGTAACCTCTCAAATACAAAGGGTTTCACTACCCTCAACTCAAGTATTCAGTGGGTGAGTGTTTAGAAATGAATAAGTTCTCTTAAGTACAGATTTAACAAGTTGAAGCTTATAGGTAATGATGAATATCACAAGAGAAGAGCTTAAAAAGTGTTTATGATCAACAAGAGTAAGAATGAGTAATTGATGTATTTGATTCAAAGAGAATAATCAAGAATGATTGTATATTCAATAAAACAGTAACTTGATTCTTTTGGAGATGAAATATATGGGTATATATAAATATTGGGATGAAACTAGTTGTTTATAGTCGTTGGAACGCTTATTGTCCAGTAAGTATTCGAATACTTTTTGCAAAGTATTCGAATACTTTATTGAAAATATTCGAATACTTTGCTGGAAACAACGTATTCGATTACTACTAAAGAAAGTGTTCAAATACTTTCTTGATAGCAACTGAAAATTGCAGCATTTTGAGTTCCAAAGCATTTCAACTTACCTCCAACCATTTTCAATGCAATACCTTGACTTGATAAATAGATTTTGAAGTTATAAAACTTGTCAAGGGTCTTTTCCATGAGTTTTTCAAATTTCTTTCAAGTGTTTGAAGCCATACTTAATGTATGCTTATAGATAAGTATTTTTTGAGCTTTTTCATGCAATATTAATCAATTATCTCTGCATTTGGGTCTAAGTCCTATAGATGTATTACTTGTAGGTTCTAGGACTTAGGTACTTCCGTTCTAGCTTGATTCTTGATCTCTCTTTGGACTTGGTTATGTATCTTGATGGTTTTGCATCCATTGACTTGTTGAATTGCTTCCTTAGACTTCTTTTTGATTGTTGTGAGTTGTATCACTCTTGAGGTCTCTTCGAAGCTTGTTTGTTATCACCAAAATTCTTGTATTATTGAAATCTTCATTTTGAGTACATTGGTTCCACAAATTGCCTTAGAACGAAATAAATTATGATTCCATGTGGGTCATTACTGATAGGCTAACTAGGTTAGCACACTTTCTTAAATGAAAGTGAATGCTCTATGAATAAATTATCGATGCGAATGAGAATATGGGACCTAATGAGATGTTGAGTTTATTGTTAAGTTAAGATGAACTGAAGTACTTATGGATACAAAATACTTTAGTGCTCAGTTAAATGTTAGCATAACTTACAATCCACAGATAAATAGTTAGGCTATTCAGACCATCTGAATACTAAAATTTATGTTAAGAAATGACACCCTATAACAAGGTGTTAAATGACAAGGAAGATAACC